CTGCTCTTTTCTCTTCATATTGCGATCCCTCGCTCATTAGCCACCGCCTCCCCTCATCTGCCACCTTACACCCACCTATAAATCTGTCTCATTCTTCCCTCCAGCGCAGCAGTCACGCTACACCACCTGCTAAAGCAGCAGATCGAGTCACATTAAATACATGCCACCGACCGCCCCCCCTCCTGCCCCCCCACCCCCCCGTTCATTATGTAATTTTAGTGAATAACTTGGGTTACAGATGGATTACTGTGCAACGGCCTCTTATTGTTGTTGTTTTTTAGCAAGGAGACAGCTAAAAAAGACAGGGTGTCCTGTTACATCTATTTGAATGAGGCCACGCCACATTGTGTTTCTACATCTTTCACAACACAGTGTGTGAATGCGGGAATGGAAGAGACGTTTCTGCATTATAAACACAGCCCTGTCTCCATGAATACAACATGTACTGCTCTGAAGAATTCCGGTTTCTATTCTTTTAAAATTTTCCTTCTTTTTTTTTTTTTATTCTGTTGTAGCCTACTCGTCCAGTACCACGGCCTACTCAGCCTACCATCATGACACCGAAACAGACTCGTCAGGCGCTCCCCTGCTTCTCTAAAGGCCAACAAAAATGCTCTAAAGGAACAAAAATGCCCTCACTGACAAAGGATGTAGCCCAACCAATGTAGATGGGACAGATGTTTTATTTTCCTGCTGTCATTTATGCTGTTACAGAGAGGAGCACCTCTCGGGGAGCTGCACTTCTCCTTTCTTTAAAGTGCCTTCCCGTTTCCTGGTAGAGAGTCGTTTTGCAGCAAACGCCCAACTGAGAAAACGCAGAGACAGATAAAGTGTTTGAGCATTAGTTTCCTCCTGTTTAAAGCTGTGTTCCGAGAATAAAAAAAAAACATGCCGTGACTTCTGGGAGCCAGAGCAGTCGACATAACCGTCCCCGTTCTTGCCTGTGATTATATGTTCAAGCCTTTGTGCACATGCTGCATGTGTGTGGACTCACCGACTCCTGCCATTTAGACTTCACAGAGGAGCGTGTTTGGATCTGAACTTTGTTTTCATAAGCCATATTTTTGATATACATATTAATCCATTTGTAGCATGTGGCCAAAACCTTTTTTTATTCAAATAAGTCATGTTTTTAACAAAATAAAAATTTCAGAGCTTGTTGGGGCTTCTTCATGTGTTCAATAATTACACGGGATCCACAATTCAACACAGTCAACAGTTTTAACCTGGTGTTTTGTCAATAAAAGGAATAATATTAAAAAAACAGTTATGGTTATGAATAAACAGGGTGTGGACAAATACAGGTGAGATGCGACAGTTAATCCAAGTATCTGTTTTAATGCTGTGACTGTTTATCTTAGATGTCATCATGATACTTAATGTTTAAAAGATCTTTCAGCAAAATGTTTTTTTTTCCTTTTGTATCTTTACTGAAGCCACTTCTCCGCTTGTCTACGTCCAGCTAATACGGGTCCATTAGCATGCCATTATTCACTTTATCTCATTAAATCTGATTCTGTGCTGCAGCTTCATCGGTCCACCTTCTCTCCTTTTCTCTGGGATTATTGTTGTTAAGCTTTCCTCCCTAAGGTCACTGTGTTTTACCACTCAGGCTTTTTCCGCCCTCAGCAAAAGAAGGAACAAGTTTGGCTGGTTTTGAAAAAAAAAAAAAGAAATAAAATCCCAGGGTTTGTCTTTGTCATGTATTGCAAAGAGGAAGTAGCAGTGTTGAAAATCACCCAGATTGCAGGAGTTTGTCATCTGGATCAAACAAACAGCAGTGTGCTGTTTTTCATCCTTTTTTTCTTTTTTTTAATTAGCTTGCCTAAGGTCACATGTCTCTTGTTGCATCTGCCAACTGTAAAGAATGTGCATATATTTGAAGCTAATAAATGTTTTCTGATGTTTCCTGCGTTCATAGTAAGTATTTGTTTTGTTCAGAGCGAATATTGTTTGTGAGGCAGTGCCACATCCTATGACATGAAGGGTGGAGGGCGTGACATAAGCATCATAAATATATTTCCTCTAAGACGTAGAGTCTACTCGTAGTGAAAATTTATGACGCATCACTTGACTCTCATGTGTAAAGGTAAACAATATCTGCAGCTTAACCAAGCCTCTAACATTGCCAACGAGCTGTTGCTGTAGGATTTTCAGCGTCAGTGTTGAGTTGCAGTTGCCCTGTGTAACCCCGTTTCTCTGGCTCACTGCCCCCACCAGCACATTCCTGTTTTACCTGTATGAGTTGTTAAGTAAACGCTCGCTGTTTCACAACCAACATACCGTGAGCTGTGAACCAACGAGGCTCGTTCAGTATCAGCCTAGACTTAGACGAAATAATTAACATTAGTCTCTGTTTAACAAACAGCCGTGACCTGACGACGACGTTTCCGTGTCGGACTTTTATTGTGTTAAATGTTGCAGTTGTTGTGTGGTATGTCACCTGACTGTTGAGAAAAGAAAAGTCTTCTTCTAACGTCCATTGGGGGGAGACAAAGTGCTACCAGAAAACTGTAACGTGACCGGAAAAGGAAAATAAAGTTTAGTTTTAAATTATTTAAACCGGATAACTATGCAGCACTGTGTTATATTTAGAAAAGTTCAATAGAACTAAATCAAAAAATAATTAAAGGTGGATTATGCATATTAAAAAACAAGAGGTTAATCACAGTCATAAAAAATATCCTCTATCTTTTGTCTGACATTTCCTATTTTGCTTTCTTATATAATTTTTTCTCATGTAATAAATAATACATTTCCTAGCTTTTCTGATATTGAACATAATTAGCCATCTTTTGAACTGTCTTCTGCGATGCGTTTAATTGAGGTGATGTAAACTTGATGTTTAGCAACCATTAGCTTAGCTGTATTATATACTTTAAGTATAAAACTTCTCAAAAATTGATTACATTAGGGACACTTTTTTGTGCATTTGTTATACATTTTACATTAGGGACATGAATGTGGGCGGTTAAAATGTTGTGATGTTTAAAATGGGGGGGAAAAAAATAAAAAATTTCAAGTTTGGTCACAGAGCTGTGAGTCAGTGTCGGTGATTGACAGCAGGTTGACTCCTGTGTCAGTTGTATATACATCAAATAAAATATGAACAGTCTCTTAACCGAAATGTGCTGCTTTTATGTGTAGAACATGTTTTGAAAGAGTAAGTAGGTTAATGATTACAAAATATCAAAGTTGTAGCAGCCCACTCAACAGATAAACCACGGCGTCCCCAACAGGGGGCCAAGAAGGATTGCAATTATAAACTTTTATTCATTTATTCATTTATTTTTTAAGCAAACCCATTTCCAAATCTAAAGAAAAAATAACTCTAATTCTTACCGGACCCCAGACAGATGGATTAACTGGAAACTTCTGACTAAATATTTGTTCAGATGAGTCATGGTGATCAGTCACTAAATAAGGACCAGGCTGAATAATAACTGAACAGTTGAACCTTTTTTTGGTTTTCATCTAAAAAAAGACTGTTGATAATGCAAGTTTATTAACCACAGTTAATACAGTAATGTATCTACTCTACACTAATCTTTACCAACAGTTTTTAACAACTCTTTAGACTTATTTAAAGAGTAAACATTTATATGCAACATCACAAACAATATGAAAAATATTATATGATACCGTTATGACAATCCAACAGTGATCTCCAAGTAATCTCTGATATAGAATCAATAATGAGTATGTGAACTATGATCTGATGAACCTGATCAGATATAATCTGATTTGGCCTGCAGGCCTTAAATTGTACACCCGCAGCATTTGTTGGAGGAAGTGTTATTCCTACAATGCCAAACAAAATGTATCGTTTGTTATAACGCTGTGATATTACCCAGAAGAATATTGTTGTACAAATGGGACAAAAAGTACATTTTGGGGAGTCACAGGCTGCTACTGTATGATAAATAGGTTAGCATAAAAGTGGAACATCTTGATCCACATTTCATATCCAAACAAAACTAGTGTAGTGCAGGGCTGAAGAATAAAAACTCCTGAGCACCATAAGTTTCCATTGTTGAAATATGAAATCAGTCCACAACAAAGGCCGGACTTCATTGTAAATTACACTACTGGTAAAGCACTACAGTGTTTTATTGCAGGAGATATTTTTACAGCAGCGTCTTTATATTTATGTAGCATTAATATGTTAGAATTTGTACATATTTATATATTTATTTTATTTTATTGTTGTGTATAGCTAATTTGTTAGGAAATGTAATTCTTATTCATTAGAAAAATTCAACTTTTAAGTTTGAAGTTGAAGCATTTGAATGTGAGTTCTTCAGTATATAAATATAAATATAAATATAAATATAAATATAAATATAAATATAAATATAAATATAAATATAAATATAAATATAAATACTGCCTGCTTTATACACGTTCCTGATCCCTGCAACAGAGAAGTACAAGCCTTATTTAAGTATTTTCACCTGCATGTTTTTTTTTTTTTTTCAAATGGTTCAGCCTTGAACTTGGCTGAGAGATTAGATAATTGTTATGAACAGGAAAGACATTTTCTACAAATCTTTTGCGGTTTAAATTTTGGGGATTTTGCTGTAGAAGTTGAAGGGAAATGGGCTGGTGTATTTTATCATAAACATTCTTGACACATTTTAAATATATGGGTCTGAGAGTCGCCGTATTTTTGGCATATCCTGAGTATTTTATAACAAATGAGACAACTGAGACCAGACTTCACTGTTACGTTCTTGTACAAAAATAAATATTTATTTGACATGTCCTTTTCATGCAGACAAACCTTATTTACAACAAAAATATGAGACACACGTATATAAACAGTTGGTTTCTCTCTGTTGTACAGCTAAAGTTTCAGTTTTGGTGAAACTTTAGGAAATGTATGCGGTTGTCACAAGCTTTGTTGTGAACCATTCCTTCATTTTATGAAGGAAAAACTGCTGAGCGTGCTCCAATAAAGTTCTGGAAGTCCCTCCATTAAATCCAGTCCCTGGGTAAGTACAGTTACACTGAAGTCCTGCTCCTCTATTTACAGAAGAGCATGTCGATCAGCAGCTCCAGCAGGTCGGCCTGGCCAATCACAGGCCTGAAGAAGAGTTCAGTGATGAGGCTTGGCGTGATGCTTTGCAACATGGAGGCCGTGAGGAGGATTCGAGCGAATCGCTCCTGGTCTCCTGGCTGAATGAGCTGGACCACCTCACTGAGGGCGTGCTGAGCTTCCTGTTGCAAGACTTCAACAAACATAGCCGCCTTCAAATCTGGTACATCTGTTGATATCAAACAGAGGGAATTAGCATTTTTGTTGTTTCATTTATTTTTTTTATTTCTGCACAATTTCCACCAGAGAATTAGGATCATAACAAACCTGGATTAAACATTGTGGTGCCTTTGAGGTACGCATACTCCTTTGGACTCAAATCCAAACTCCAGAACTTTTTGAGGCAGGACTTGAGTCTGCTGACACCAGAGATGGTGGGCTGCTCCCTGTCTAGCTCAGGGCTCTCCTGGTGGTTGAGGAGGATCTTCTTCAGCATGCTGTCAGCGGGGCTGTTGGTCACCTCAAAGTCCACATGCTCCTGGGCCAGACCCAGAATGAAGAGAGGTGCCCAGCAGCTTTTTAGGAGCGAGAACTGGTCGTTTGTTGGCAGCTGGTTAAAAGCAGGTAAGTTCTTCATGAAATGAATTGTTTTAACCAGAACCGACGAAGCTTCTTTACATATCTCAGTTGGCCTCTTCAGACAGACGGTCCGCCGCAGCTCACAGTTGCATCTGTGAGCTGCTGAGCCGTAGCTGAAGTCATGACTTGTCTTGCTGGACTCCATTTGGCTCAGGATGTTGTAGAGAATAGGGTTTGACAACCTGTCAGTGTTGGCGGAGCAGGGACAAACGTTATCCATTTTGTCGGTGGTGTAGAAAAAAAAAGAAGGTCAAATGTTAAGTGTCCTCTCATGGAACGAGCTCCTGAATACTGTTTCTGTTAACACCACCGGTTGCTCCTGTATTTATAAGGCCAGCCCGCCCCATCGCATGGACCTTGACTTGTCAATAGAGTCTGTGAAAAACAACCATGTGCTCTGCCAGGTGACTAATGGAATAACCCTGTCAAAGTGATAAGCTTTTCTCAATGAAAGGAACCTGTTGGAGTAACGTCGGAATATCGAGAGGGTTGGGCCTTATCTTGTTACCGGTGTCATTAACCCAGGCAGTACCAAGCTACCAAGGTCTGCAGAGGTAATCAGCCTCCAACTGTGTCCCTGTACACACTGCCAGCTCACACCTGGAGAGCTGCAAAGAGGCCAAAAGCAAAGGAAGAGTCATTGACCTCTGAGTGAAGTCTTTTTTTTTAACCTACTGAATTCTACACAGAATGCCTTAGAACTATATATTTATACACAAGTATACACGTGTATATATAAGTGATATTCTGCAATCATTCAATCACTCACTGTGTCAATGTTTTTATTCCATGGGGAGCGTGATTTACTTTCACAGTGAAATTAGAAGTCCAGACCCTAGTCCTAATGGAAATCATTGGTACTCACTGGACATCCACAGGGCCCACAATTCTTCATCACCGATATAAATGGTAGGCAGTGGTGGCTTGATGGTTAAGGTAGCAGACTTGGGTCTGGAAGGTTTCAGGTTTAAGTCCACGAGTTGCCAAGTTTCCACTGAGGTGCTGAGCAAGGCACCTTCCCCATACATTCCCTGGGCGCTTATGCTGCCCCCTGTTGACTTTGGTGATGGGTTAAAAGCAGAGGTTGCATTTCATTGTGTGGTGTGCAGTGGTGTACTGTGTCTTAATGACAAATACTTCACTTTAACTAAAGAAAATATTACCACTTTGGTAAGAAAGAAAAAATACAACCTGGTGCCATCTAAAAGATCAACAACAGTTCTGGTAAATAATCCTAACTGTATTAAAGTGTTAAATTTGGGCTATTGTGAATGTGCTGTCCCTATCAAACCAGAATCTCCAGCGTAGGAAGAATACTGAAAAAAACAAAAACAAAACACTGAGACACAGGAAAATAGGTAAACTTATTTTTACTTCCAGAGAAGAGATGAGTAATACTTTACAGACTGTGCCAGCTGTTTTTCAGTCACTTGTGTGAGCAACTCATCTTTCCTAAAGGTTTCACATATTTCACATCTGAGATCAGACTACCATGTTACTGCAGTACAACTTTGTACCAATGCCAGTGTAATTCCTCTGAATACATCATATAGATATAGATATACTGCATGAGATCAGCTCCTCCTCCTCCTCTCCTGTGAGTTATGTTTCTTCTAAAATCGCAGAACAGTTCTGTCATTGACGTTTGCACAGTAATTTATATTCCCGTTAAGTACTGTTTCCTGTTCCCATTCGACTGCTGCTCTTATGATTCAAATTTTCCACATTTATGGTTCCAAAATGTGCAGTTGTTGATATCTATCTATCTATCTATCTATCTATCTATCTATCTATCTATCTACAGTATATATATATATGCTGTATATATATATATGTATGTATATGTATATATATATGTATATGTATGTATTCAAACAGTCTTGTTTTGATAGAAATGAATTTACTAACAGGTAGTACAGCTTTGGTGTAACCCTGACTGTCTAACCCCAACCCTAAAAGACCCCTACAGGCACTGGGAATTTCACTTTATGGTGTCTGTAGGAGGCGTATTATCTGAGCTGTGCCTGGCACAGAGGTTTGAGTCTGATAAGCCAATCACTTTATTATCCTCACAAATAAACAAACAGCATGCTTTCATCTGACGCTTCAGGAACACGGTGAACATATTAAAATGTTTATCACCTTGTATAGTGACAGGTCACACTACTTCTACTGTATACTTCACTTCGACATCTGCTGCACCAGCAAAGAATTTGGTCACTGTTTGTAGGATTCCAGGCAAAAGCGAACCATAGGCTGTGGAGTCAAGGTCAGGCCGCGGAGCCAATGACTGCAATAAAGAGATTATCAGTCAGACACAACTGGCAGTGCCAGTCTCTCTGAGAGTTTACACTCAGTTTCTCAGAAACTGTTTTCTTAAAGGTTTTTAAACGGGATTGAAGACTTTGTTAAAAAACGAGTAAAAAAAAAAGGTCTAAAGATGAATAATTCACAGTCATGTTTTTAGTATTTGCCCTGTAACACGCTCGTGAAAATATGGTATCAAACAAAAGGTAGGCTCGGGGGCCAGATGTGGCCCACCAAACATTTCCAAATGATATAATTTATTTATATTATCATTATACTTCTGCCTTTTCCCTGCTATACCCACATTTTCTCAAAAGACGACGAAGAAAATGATACAAGCATGTTAGGATTTTAGCATTTATGTCAGACTTTTACATGTCATTTATCGTAGCTCACACGAACACGCCATCTATCTGCTCCTGACACCCTGTTCAATTTTAGGACAATTGGTGGCCTGCGAGTAAAAAAGTTTGCCCACGCCCTGTCTAGTAGAATGAAGATTATTTAAAGATGTTATTTATTTAAATATATTTTTTACAAAAACTGCCATTGATATAGTGCAAAATCCAGCAAAAACATATGAATCTGTGTACTTCACTGCCAAAGGTTGGGGAATCTGTGTCGCACCATGTGTGCCATTAGCGGAGGTGTCCGTGACCATCAGTAGCCTGGAATGACCACAGCTGACAAAACACTTGGTGGGTTACTTAAGACTGATGTTTTCTGAAAAGTGACCTGTAGTGCCCTCAGCAGCCACCAATCCTCATGAAGCATGCTGGGGGTTGTAAATGCTAGTGATAAGCCCGGTGTTTATAGATGTTAGGAGCAGGCAGCGATGGGCACGGAGGACAGACGCTTATCTGCAGTGGGATTGTAAAAATAAAATGTCCTTCATTCTGTAAGTGGAGCAACTGCTGCTTTCTCAGTGTAAGGAAGTGATAGAGTCCAGCCATGTCTAATGTTAGCATGATGTAATGGCTGGCACCAGAAGTTTTTTTCAATCATCATCACAACTGTGTGCCACGTGTATAGGGTGAGCCCCAGCTTTGCAATGTCAAACTTTACAGGACATAATTAGTAAATTTAGATTTTTTCCCCAGTGTCAGAAAACAAAACTTGATTAATCCTGCATTTAACCAGAATCTAACTTGAAATTAGAGTTTCTACGGCTTTAAAATACAAGTCAGGTGTGTAAGTCAGGTGTGTGTCTGTGTGTGTGTGCATGTGTGTAAGTATGTAACATGACATACATGACAGCTGACCTTGACCAAATTCAAATAGTGAAGGTCCTTTCTTCACGGGGTCGTTGACCCGATGGTCAGTTTATTACTGTGGGTTCAATTCAAACCTCAGAGAGAAAAGAGATACTGAATTGTGGGATTTCTGATCACATGTTCCCACACTGGTCTGTCATGTTCCCTAGAAAAGTAACCTACGTTATTAATTGAGGCTTTAGGAAGCTGAATCTAACCAAATATAAAACTATACATGAGATGGTTAAAACCATTGACGATCCAAATTCAAATTCTGAAAGTTCTACTGTTAAACCTGTACAAAGTAACATAGGTCAAAAAAAAGATTAATCTAAAATATTTATTCTGTAGTATTATCAGTGGTCTCTCAGCTTGTCTCACACCTGCAGTCTTTGGTGGGAATACTACAAATAAATTCTTGGTGCATCAGCATCTGGTCAGATTACTGCATTTTCATTCTTCACTTTTTTTCATCCGTTGGCTAAGTTTGCAACTTATACTTAGGTGCGACTTAAATATAAAAAGATATTTATATATTATTTTATATATTTATATATAATTTCACGTTTGTTATTTTCACATTGATGGCCGCTAGAGGGCACTCTAGGCTTGTGTATCAGTATCTGCTACTCCTGTAAGTCACACTTTCTTTCATCCTTTGGCTTGTGCGACTTATACTCCAGAGCAACTTATAGTCCAGAAAATATGGTACATGACTATGTGTGGCTGTTGCTAAGTGGGAATTTAAATTTAGGAGACAATTTACCATATTGTTTTGGACGACTAACCCAACTCTGGAACACAACTCCATTTGGTTTGGTAGCTAGATAGATATACCTCGTTGGGAAATTACAGTTACTGTTCCATTTTAGTCAGTCTAACTGTCAGTTGACAGTTAAACACCAGCTCAGCTTGAAACTGGAACTCGTCTGGGTTTGTTGGCACACTCATTGTGGACCTTGGTAAAAGTGGGTGAAAGGTCACTTGGAACCTAGTTTGTTCTTTAACATTATGACCACTTGGTACTACTGTAACTCAATTACAAGACCCACATAGACGTGTAAGTTGGGACTTTGCATTAACTTATCTATGTAGGCTGACCAGACACGAGGTTAAGCTAATACTCTCTGTAAAGCCAATAAATTCCAATGGGATTTCCAATTTCTGTCTTATAGCTTTATGAAGGATTGGTGTGTGCTTCCACAGGCCATGATGGCTATGACAAATACAGGGTATAGGTCATGTATAAAGTGATGTCAGAGTCCAGACGCTTGAGTCTACGGTTTTACTGCCTATTACTATCAAAATACAGTTATAAATGCTGAGGTGAAGGCTAAACACTGGGTCGATGGGTGAAGCAGCCGGGTCAATGAACTGTGGCCGGTTTCACGAGGTAGTGTGTAGGAAATGTATTTAACTTTAATATGTTCTGCAGAAAAATACCCTTTTCATTTTTACTATGGTGTAATGATTGTTGCGTCCTTTGGCTTAATGTCAATCTGGTGGCCTGTAACATCAACGCTCAGGTTCAGTGTCTTAATAGAACTGCATCACTGTCACTGATTTCATTCCATTTCATTGTTTTTCTGCACATTAAGGTCCATCCAAAAATGATGATCATTTGGGAAGAATTATAGTTTTTGTTATTTCATTTCACTTTATTGGGAAAAATACAAAATGTGCTTTGTCCTTACACAGGTCTGTGGATCCATGTGCATGGACAGACTGTGTGCTGATGTCAGGTAGGAAGGCAATGACACCGAGTGTACAAAAGCATGCATCTACAGGCAGACTGTCAGTGACATAAACCACGTCATACTCATGTTCGTGTGTCAGCACCGTACAGACAATAACACTGGTGCTACACCAATAGAATGTAACGACGGCATGTAAAAAAAAAGAAAGAAAATAAAACATCTGAACTTTAGTGCTTCAATGCTCCTGCCAGGTACCCTATTTATGTAATTGCTGTTATTCGTTTGCGTCATCAAAAATACAAACATTATACTGCTGCTTTACATTAGGGGTCATAATTAACACCAGAACACAATTATAATAATTACTTACTATCTTTACGATGATTTCTTTACGATGAAACAGGTTCAGCGAGTTCAATACATTCACTATTAGATGGACCTTTATTTAAGCGTTTCAAAAAATGTTTAGCTCCATCTGGTGGGCTTCGCAGTCCACTCACAGTGTACTGTGTTTAAAAATAGCACGTTCTCTGGGTGAAGGGTAGAACACTAGCGATAACAGGGTATCTGTGCATGTGAGGAAGGGCACGTATCAGTTTGAAGTCTTGTCTGAAGTTTTGTTTACTGTTTTACCTTTAAACACAATAAAATATAGTTTTTGTATGGAGTTAAATCAAGGGAACAATGATGGTAAATGAGTAAAAATGAAGTATCGCATTAACCATGGCGTTATCCAGATTAACAGCAACTGTACTTGGGTTAAAAGTGAACTGTGTAAGTATACAGTAACATGGTATTTAGGATTATATGCTGTATTTATTGAAAAAAATTGAGAAGATACTAAATATTTTTCGATACTTTGTGTGGCTACACAACTTGAACGTGTACATGAACAAAATGCGGCATTTCGCAACAACAGCTCACCATCTGTAAAAGAAAAAACGCAGGCCTTATTTCTCGCAAACAAATTGTGATTTGTTTGTAAATGTATGACTTGAATGTATTTTTAGAAAAACTGTTAGTAGATTTGGCATTTAAACGGACAAATACATGTGCATCATTTGTCAGTTTACGACAGAACGGAATCGACAACTGAATACATTTTTCATATTGTAAAAATATACAGTTGCATGTAAACAGAAAATCCTAGACAGTAGGAGGCAGCAGAGCGCACAACGTACAGGAAACCGTCTAAGAAGGACGACAACAAAACGGGTGTTAAACAAAGATGGCGGACGATGAGCGTCTGTCTCCAGTGTTTTTTGCTGTTAGTAACATTCCTGTAGTCTTTCGCTCTGCTGACCTTAGGAATTATTTTAGTCAGTTTATAGAGAGTGGAGGTTTTCAGTGTTTCCACTACCGACATCGACCGGAGATTCTCAGAGAGTGTACCGAGAACACAGCAGATTCTATCGATAAAAGTGACCAAGTCAATGCCAGCAGTAGCTCCTCACAAACTGACCGGCACTCGGAGGAGGATAGTGGGGTGAAGGAGCAGAAGCAGCCGGCAAAGTCGTGCTGTTGTATCGTTCTAGTCCACCATGAAAAGGCGGAACCATTTTTGAAAATGTATTCGGGAAATCACTGGATTGATTCAAAGGGAACCTGGCTAAAGAAGCGCTGTGTTATCAAAAGAATCAAAGTCAACGACGACGAAGGTAACGAAACATCTGTCATTTCGTAAACTGTACATTTAGTCATTACAGAAACGGCAAGGGAGTTGTACCGCTGCAGACATATAAGTAGTAGCATATAATAATGACATCAAAACTATTAGCCCCTTCGAGCACTGACTTAGTACTTAACTATGTCCAATAAATGCTGTTAACATTAGAGTGAGTTTAGATTACTAAGAAAAAAAATTGAGGGGTTGTCAGGGGTTTCTTTTAGTATATTTAAGTATTAAATATTTATTAAATATACATCTTCCATTAATCATCTTCTGTTGCTTAATCCTTTTCTGGTTTACATGTCATTGGGTTAGTGTGGGGTACTACCTGAACAGTTGGTCATATATTATATTTTTCCTCCTTTTGTGATGTTAGTATGGTTGTTTATACACGTGTATAACTTGTTTGCTTGACTTTCAGATGATGGATCATTTCGCTATAAGACAAAATATGAGCAACGGCACCGTATTTCATTGATCGAGCGTTTTACAGAAGCTGACCTCAAAAGCTTACCTGAGCTGAATCCACCTTCTCTGATGCAAAATGGGAACGTAGGCACTCCGATTAAAGTATTCCTGCAGCTCATTCAGTCCTGCCGACTGCCTCCACGACTTATCCGGAAGCTGGGCCTAACTTTTCCCAAGACCAGCTGCAACCGTCGTTATGGCAACGTGCCTTTCGAATACCGGAACACATGCACAGTGCAATGCAGAGAAGAGACTGTATTAACAGCTTCTGGGTATGAAATATCAGGACCAGCTTTTTCTGCAGCCCGTCCTGCAGGGCAGAGTTCTAAAAGAGACACCATGGAGAGTGAGGAGCTGCAGGAAGAAGAAGATGAGGAAGAGGAAGATGAGCAGTCAAATGCAGATGATGTAAGCATTAGTTTTAAGCTTTCCTTTATTATTCTGTAAATCATTGGTATATAGCAAGGTCATATGTCATTATTGTTGTCATCTGTTAACTATGTTTTGACTAATGTTTGCAGGATGATGATCGCTGTGAGGAGTGGGAAAGACATGAGGCTCTACATGAAGATGTAACGAGCCAGGAAAGAACCAAAGAGAGGCTTTTTGAAGAAAAGATAGAACTCAAGTGGGAAAAGGGTGGGTCTGGCTTGGTGTTCTACACTGATGCCCAGTACTGGCAGGAAGAGGAAGGAGGTATGCAAACCTATATTCTTCACATGAAAATAATCTTAGAAATTGCCATGTTTTCATCTTCATTACTTTTTTTCTTCTAGTGTATTTGTTTACATTTTTGCTGCTCGGTCTTTGTTTAGATTTTGATGAACAAACAGCAGATGACTGGGATGTCGATATGAGCGTGTACTACGATAAAGGTACTCTAAATGTTTTTCCCATCACTCACAACCAAACACAAAAGTTCTTGCAGAATTACTCATATCATATATTCATTCAACCCTTCTCTGACAGATGGAGGTGATATGGACGCCAGAGACTACGTACAGATGAGATATGAAAAGAGGCTGAGAGACGGTCTAGAATGTAGATCTGGTTCGAGTCAGACCATTGGCAGCTTTGAGAAATTCACAAAGGTAGTTGTGTGGCCAATCTCCACAATGTGCTGTAGAATGTTCTCTTATAGTCTATTGAATCATTTTGTTTTCCTATGATAGGGTATAGGTCGTCGTGTAATGGAGAAACAAGGTTGGAAGGACGGTGAAGGGTTAGGGAGCAGTCAAATAGGAATCTCTGAAGCCCTGGACAGTGAGGGCCAGCATCCAAATTGCAAAAGGGGTTTTGGGTGTGTATAAATAAAAAATAGGCTTAAACACATTTTTTTTTGTATATTAACTGTTTGTCGTGAATTATTTTGCTTACAATGTCAACTGTGTTTTTGCAGGTACCATGGGGAGAAATTGGTGTTACATCCTGTGAAAAAAGCGAAAAAAGATTTCCACATCACTACAGTGTATGATAAACCCAAAGACATTGATAAGGGGGACACCTTACTGAGACGTCAACCAAACACTAATATGAAGTATAGAGGCTGGCAACCAGGTGGCAGCATTGGATCCCGAAGATGACAAAAATAAATGTTTATTTTTTTAAATAAAAATTATTTTGTATTTCATATGTTTATGTTTTCTATTTTTTTAGCACACTGTTTTATAGATCTTATAGATTTTTAACAAGCAAATACGTGCATAACTTTATGAAACTCCATAAAATGGTTTTGATTTGGTAATTGTTTTTCTGAAATTGCTAACTCTATAAGTGTTTGCCTGTGAATAAAATGTTTATATACAACCAACTTTTAATGTAGAGTTATGTTAGCATTCTTTTCTGGATATAATGGCAATTAGTCCAATCCAACGATTTCTCACCTTGCCTACACAATTAGTAAACATGAGTTTACGCTAGAGAAAAAAAGTGTCCCGACAAGCAGGTAAAGTTTATTTAAAAGGCTATTAAAATGTTTAATTATTCATTATAAAATCTTGTGACTGCCTGGTGGTTTTAATTATCCTATATTCCGTTTTTTCTAAGACACGTGGTGTACATATGTTTACTTAAATCATGTGAGGTTTTTTATCGAATATATATATAGTACAGGACCGAAGCAAATTCATTAAAAAAACAAACACAAAGAAATACGAGCTAATGATACATTAAAGTTAAATCAATCATAACGTCCTTTGAAAACGTAACAGACCAAATGGTTCGTTCACATTTTGCGCCATGTATTTCCATACAGCTTTTATTTTGCCGCCTTGATCAGAATGTAACCCGGAAGTGCTTAATTTTTAGCCCCACATGCAAACAACAACAAAACTACATGGGAACAATTCGAGCTTATTTTCTGATAACATACTGAAGTTAACGACGCAGTAACGGAAATATTCTTGTCTAATTTCTTTAGTTTCTCCTTACACACTTTTAAGTCTAAGTACCTAGCGTTAGCACATTAGCCGGGTCAGTGTGCACTTTCCGAAGCGTTTAAGTTGACGGTGTTGCCAAGGATCTGGCTTTATTTGACACTAGGGTAAGTTAAAAAGCTAATTCCTGACTATTGGTTTGTACCATTTATTGATTTAACTATAACAACAAGCCAGACATCGATCTTCTCATCAGACAAACACATGTAACCATGGAACCATCTCCAGATTCTAAAACCATGTCCAACCAGGCAGGAGCAACACATACTCTACGTTTCGGCCAGGTGGTCATTGGACCTCCAGGCTCAGGTAAAACCACCTACTGCCAAGGGATGCAGGAGTTCCTGACGCAAATGGGACGCAAGGTGGTTGTGGTAAATATGGACCCCGCCAATGAAGGACTGCCATACACCTGTGCAGTAAATATTTCGGAGCTGGTCACTTTGGATGATGTAATGGAGGGCTTGAAGCTTGGGCCCAATGGTGGACTTCTGTACTCAATGGAGTATTTGGAAGCAAATATGGACTGGTTGGAAAACAAGCTCAAACCCCACGGAGATTGTTACTACTTGTTCGACTGTCCTGGACAGGTGGAGCTCTACACCCACCAGTGCTCAGTTAAGAATATATTTTCACAGCTCGCCAAGTGGAACTTCAGGGTGAGCTACCAATATAATATCTATAATATGCATGCTCTAAGACACCAAAGGTACTTCAGTTGTGTATTCAGATCCCCATCCAGACTCATTTACTTGTTAATGTAACAACTTGCAGAAGGAATAGTAAAAAAAAAACTAGAACTACAATAATGTGGACAATAGTACTGTTTCTCAAACTTTAAAAAGGAAAAATCAGGGATAATTAGGAAGGAGAGCAACTCTAAAACATGGGTTTGATGAAAACAAGTGAAATGACATAATTTTGCCTTTTTTGAGTTAATATATATTATAAAGAAACATTTTCATTAAAGGGCCCATTTTAATCATTTTGCAGTAAAGATGGGAGCAAATTGTAGATGGGTCACAGATCACATGAGCAAAAATGACGGACAGAAAACCAGTCACACTCGCATTTACAATATTATCTGTCTGGAGAATTTTATTTTCCTGGCAACTTTATAGTCACTATGTTTTATTGAAAAATGTTGATGTCCTTAAGACACATTAAAAAAAAAATCAAAAATGTCCCACAATGATTATAATCAATTTGTTGTCTGTCAGTTCTGATTCGTTTTGGCAAAAGCACAGTATGAAAGTGAAGTATAGCATAGTGCTAAAGAAATAAGGATATTGTACTATAAAGATAAATATAAAGTTATTACAGCAAACAGTCTAATCAAATGATTTTTCTTCTTTAGTCAGTTTTGACATGTTCCCTGTTTAAAACATGATAATAATGACACCTTTAGAGGCCAGTTCTCTTGGGCTTCGTGACTATAGATATCAACAATGTTCTTTCCTTCCCATAGCTGACCGCTGTGCACCTTGTGGATTCCCACTACTGTGCTGACCCAGCCAAGTTCATCTCTGTGCTGTGCACCTCTCTGTCCACCATGCTACATGTGGAGCTCCCTCATGTTAATGTGCTGTCCAAGATGGACCTGATCGAGCAATACGGCAAACTGGGTAAGTGCTGCTGATCCAAGGCAAGCTGCAGTTTCCATGTATGTCTGCCTTATGGCAAAAAAAAATTCCTTGTCTGTGTTTTTGTACAGCCTTCAACCTGGACTTCTACACAGAGGTCATGGATCTGACCTATCTTCTTGATCACCTGGCTGCGGATCCCTTTTTTAAAAAGTTCTGTCGTCTGAATGAGAAGTTAGCAGAAGTCATACAGGATTACGGCCTGGTCTCCTTCGTGCCCCTCAATGTTCAGGTACACCAGATTTTTTTATTACATCTTTTTTGACGTGGTACAATAAAGGCCTTAATATTCTCAACTAGGGAAATTTATTTTGAAAATGTGTAACAAAGATGTTAGTTTTAGTAGTTTTACATTGGCTTTATTTTGGGGCAGTGGTGGCTTAGTGGGTCCAGAAGGCTTCAGGTTCAAGTCCACCAGCTGCCAAGTTACCACTGAGGTGCTCTGAGCAGGGCACCGTCCCCACACACTGCTCCCTGGGCAGCTTTAAGCTGCCCACTGTTCACTTTGGTTATGGGTTAACAGAGGTGACATTTGGTTGTGTGCAGTGGTGTGCTGTGTCACAATGACAAGGAATTCACTTTTCTTATTTAGGGATTTTACATTGTTAAACTTCTGAGTACAGAAAAACAAAAACATTAAGAGCTCACCAAAACATCAAAATTCAAATTATGATTCCCTCTGACTCTAAAAGTGATCTGTTTATCCTTTTTGTCTAATAACACACTGCAGTTGTTCAGGTTAGTTAGAACAAACTTCAGGCAAATTTCTTAAGGTTTTCAGCCTGTCCTTGTTTTTTAAAGCCCTCAAGCTTCTCTGAATTTTTTCACAGTTTATTAGGTTTTTGGTTTACTTTGCAATTTTTCTGTAGAATTTAATTCAGGGCTGTGTTCAGGACAGTGAAAATGCACGCAGGGCCCTTCTGAGGAATTTACCTATTCTGGAGTATGCATTTGGTTGTTTTTACAGAAGAAGATGAAAAATGTTCAACTTGTAAATGTCTTCAGCTTGAGTTTTTAGTTTCTGTAATTTCACATTTGTGCAGGTCTGTGGTTACCGTTTTTATCCTTCATCGTCTGAAATTGTTAGTTTATTTCCTCTTCCTGTTTTGTTCTTTTGCTACTTGGTCTCTCAATTCTTTACACCTAATTTCTTGACACACTTGAAACATTTCATTCACTTTCCACAGCCCACTGGTTTGTGACAATGGTGGGTTTATCAGCCGCACATTGTTGATGGATTTTATGGCAACCAAATGAGGGAGAGGAAGTCAAACTCTGACAATCACTGATCCAGTAAACGTAGAATAGACCAGCAGTTTCTCTTTACGATAGACATGAAGAGTTTGATTTACAAATAATGCTGCATCATCACAGTTCTAAAGAACATGTCCACACACATTTGAGGAGGTGGCCTTTATGAGGTCGATCAGATGATACCAAAATGGTAAAATAATTGCAACATGTTGCACGGGTTGTTTTTTTTAAATTTATTTATTTATACCTTTTTTACTCTTCCATTCTAACGATTAAATAAAGACTAAAACATCAGCCATTAAAGAAAACAAAAAAGGAGAAGAAATAAAAAAGAAAAGTGAGAAAGTAATGACATTTTCCCTCGGAAAAAAAAACACACGAGTAAGTTTTCTGTAACTTTCTCAGCATTTTTTTAACTGGGCAGTTTCAGTGACATTCATCAGGGGGAAAAAACCCTTCTGTAAAACACTTCTCCTTTTTTGTCTGCAGGACAAAGAGAGCATGATTCAGGTCTTACGAGCAGTGGACAAGGCAAACGGCTACTGCTTTGGAGACCTGGAGGAGAGGAATCTGCAAGCTATGATGTCAGCAGCTGTGGGGGCAGACTTCCAATTCAACTCGTATCCTTTCCTAATCACTACGGTGACTCACTGTGACTCATCTGGTTTAAAATCAAACCTCAACATCTATAGAAGCAGTTTAAAAAGCTCCATAAACGTAAACTGGATTCTTTTTATAAACCTGAAATGACTTGATTATCACTGGGTTACTTTAAAAGTAAAGTAAGAGTTTTGGTACATATTTTAAATTGTGTAAACTACGATGTTTTTCCCTAACAAACTGCTCCATAGTACTCTTGGGGTGCAAGAGCGATATGTTGAAGCCAGTGGAAGGAGTGTGGAGGAAGAAATGGACGGCCTGTGAACTGAAAAATGTCCATTAAAAGGACATAACCGTCTGCCTTTTTAGCACCAATATTTGAGGGGAGCCCTTAATGCATCCATCTTAGTTGGCCTGAATAACATGGAGCTCACTTCTAAAGCTATGGAAGTGCTTCAAGGCTGCGCCATGAAAAAAATCACACCACAATAACTGAAAGGATGTTCCTATTTATTTAGTTATTAGAGAGAGTGAGATGTGGGGTTTTTTTTTTTACCTTGAATGCTGTACCTGGAGACAACGGTAAACAACATTTGCAATAGAAGTCAGTACTTTTATCTGAGTACATATATAAATACCATAGTTTGAATTGGTTAAAATGTTCTGTACCTGATAATCAAGAAAGTTGAACAGTAACATTTTACATATGCGGGTCTGACGAGAGTTTCCTGTCAGATGAACTACTAATTTATTGTCATTAAGGAAAGACAAGTAAATGTGCTGCTGTGAATAGTTATTTGTTATATTTGCCATATTAGTACGAGATAAAGTGTGATAGTAATAGATTTTGTGTTAAGCTTTGTAATACAATTGCATACATTAAAATTCATTTTTGTTATGAATCCTGTGGTATTCATTCATTCTTCAGTGGTGAAGGCTGTTGAAGGCAGATGTCAGGGAACACCACTGACTGGTCATCAGTCTGTCACAGGGCCACATATACAGACTTACGTCAAATTCAAATTAACACCCTGGATTCAGAGTCTTCACATGACCTAATTGTTGATCTGTTTTTGGACAGAGGGGTAAAAAAGAGTGTATGGAGAAACCCTTACACGGGGGAGAGGACATTAGAACATCATTGTGAGACAACAGCACTAAAGCTGTGGTTTGTAGGTGTTGTGTATACAGTAAATGTTTATATACGTATATTTACATACTGTGGTTTGGCCACCCTACAGCACTGAATGTAAAATAACAGTGTGCATTTATACATACATGTTTTTCCTCAGCATATACAATAGTCATGAGTTTATAGCTGGAAATATTTGATTAAAGAATTTTTGTGACTAATTCCCTAAACCTCAGACATATTACAGCAACACCTCTGAAATCGTGTCTGAAATGGTAATGACTCAAATGAAGGATGTAAATTAAGTGCTTCAATGAACCAGTCCACAAAGACTTAGAAAGACATAGCTTTAAACAATCAGGGGTGTTTGCAGGATCACAGGGATGTCACATGGTGACATTGTTGACAGCCATGACTGACTTCACTGGGAGCACTTCACTATTGGTCACAATGTTTATTGGGTTCTTAAATCAGCAGAGCTTTTATTTCCAGGAGCTTTTGATTGCTATTGATAGAAACACATTTATTTATCATCGTAGTCAACAGAATATGTCCTCTGGATTTAACCCTTCTGTGAAACAAGAGCAGGAGTCTGCATTTTCCTGAGCTAGTGGAGCAGGGGTGTTTTGTTATTGTTGTTGTTGTGCTTTCTCCATCAAACTGGCAACCCTCCAATCACAAGCCTGTTTTTAAGGAAAAAAAGACATATAAAAGCAAATAGCCATTTACACTCACGTTCACACCATGGTCAATAAAATATGTCCATTACCCTAATGATCAATCTGTGTGTGTTTTAAAACTATTGGATGAAACTATCCACACACACACTCATACAGGAAGAGAAACAAACTCTACAAAAATACAGCATCCATCTTAGCTGGGACCAGTTACCTTCTTCTCCTAGCAGGCCTCAGAGCTAAACACAGAAAAAATACAATAGAACATCAACAGATACAAATAAAATCAACCGCACAGACAGTTGGACACCACGGTGTTCTCCTTAAAAACAGGTGAATTCAGATTGCTTGGATAAGAAATGGCTAATATTGAACAATTCAGCACTGCATAAATTCAGCCTTATGTAACGCATGGGTGGGTGTTTTATAATGGCAAATCACAATCAAAAAAAGATGGTTTCTCATTTATTTGATTGGAAAGAAACGCTTCTTGTTTACTTCGTTATGGACGAACGAGAGGGAAGTGACAAACATCTCCAACACAGATGAAGTTCATGACTTTGGCTGAGAGCAAAAACCTTGTAAATTGTCCACACACTGTATCGTGTCTTATCTATCGCTCCAGCAGATGGCGCATACGCTTTCTAATCCTCCCCCCCAGATCCAGTAAAGTCTTCTCCGCGTTTTCCCAAAAACCAGAGCAGAAAAATTAAGTCAGGCGGGGAGAGGAAGCCACATTAAATCTGTGTTTCTGCACAACTGGCCCTGTGTCTGGTCTTTGGGATAGAAGAGACTCTGCTCTTTTAAAAACCTGTTAAAACTACGTGTTTGACTTTGAGAAGAAGACTCTAATCACGGCCACTGCTTCTCCTAGCGTTTAAATCCGAATCCACCTCCAAAAAAACACCCACGAGTTCACTTTATATTTAAAGTCTTTATACACAGCCATTCATTAAGCCCTTGACGCGGGCCCTAGCGTGCGTGAGTGCGCGCACTTCCCGTGTAGTCAGACAAAAATAAAGCGTGATCCACTTTGCCAGCTCGCACTGATGTGGGAAATCACATTATTAAGCCCGTGTGGTATGACGTGGATGGGAAATGATATATGGACCCGGCAGAGCTGGGCTCTTCTTGCATTAGGGGGGTGTGTCAGGCAGAATGTTAAATTATGTTCCGATGTTTGTACATGTGATCAAGTATGCCTTCTCTCTGCTACTTCCTGCCTTTCCCCCTTGCAAGCCCCCTAGAGGTGGACGTGTGTGTGTGTGCCCGTGTGTATGTGTGTGCTTGAGAGAGTGAGAGCGAGCAAAACTCTGCCTCTCTCGGTTTGTGTGTGTCTTCGTTTTTGTAACCCCTGTTAAATAAACACTCACCTTGTCAGGAGCATCACCGAGACTCTGGTCAAAGTTGGGATTGAGGATGTGTATTGTGGTGATGTTCATTTTCATTTTGATTTAGGTAAAATTGAGGGCTGGGTATCTGGTTATGGCTTGGGGTTAATTGTGAGGCTTTAAAAAAACAAACAATTAGAAGCACGACAATCACAATGGTCAAAAATGTCATTCCTCTCAAGATAAGGTCAGAATCAGAATGTGAAATGTTGTCATGGTTAAAGAAAAAAATTATATAAAAATCGTCAAGGTGTGGGTTTGGGTTTTGGTTTGAATGTGCAAATGAATCCAAGTGACTGCAGAGTCCCAACAAGAATAGCTGTGCAAACACAATTGTGTGCCAAAAAAGCTCCTAACAAGGCAGATTGTCATTTCTGTGGCTCTGGTTGAAGCAGAAATGAGAATTTGAATTACAGTTAGGGTTTTACATTCACTGTTTAAGGTTAGGATAAGAGAGATGAGAGATTTAGTTAGGCTCTACAAAGGAATGGAAGTCGAAGACATGCATACAGACTAGTCTGGATAATGCTAACTAGTTATGGTAAACCTTACCTAAATCGTATTTATAGGGTTCTAGTAAAATGTAAGATAAAGATGTGAACTACTTTTAAAATAAGGTTAATGTTAGACATTAAATGATTAAGTTAGTCTTTGAGATAATGTTCTGATTTGTATCAACAAAGGAATTAGCGTAAATGTATTATATATTATATTATAACAAATGTAGCGCTGTGTTTTCTTGTGTACACAATGTATCTGTACATGTATTTTACATCGTCAAAATCTGTTCTTGTACATTCTTAACCTAACTGCAATTTACAACTAATTGCGGATAAATATGAGGTACGAGTTTGGAATAAAAAAATCTACAATATACTAAATACTTACTGTGTTACTAACACGCAGTCAGAGCTCAATTAAATTAGATTGGATTAGATTAAAGACTATTTTTATGTTAGGGTTAGTTTAGAAAAAATGGTTAGTTAAAATGGAGGAAAAGAGAAGTACAAATGTCTTTGTGCTTATTTTAGCCACATGTGTAGAGCCATGCCAGGCATTTACGTGTGTTTTATGTTCTACTAGTCCCCATGTGGACTATTACCTGTTTCCAATGAGGTAGAAACTCGTTTAGAGGCTCTTGGTAAAGTTGAGAATAAAGGTTAGACACTAATTAGCAACGGTTGTGGGGAGAGTTCTAGTTAGCTGTACAAATAGACGGAAGTCCTCACAAGAATACAAATACAAACCAGCGCTTGTGTGTGCAGTATGTAGGAGCATATGTAGCAGTGTTGGTGTTTATCGGACCAGGAGAACAGATGGGGACTTAAACCTGGTCCTAATGAAGCTGAACCTAATTCTGAGGCTCGAGTTGAAGTTTTTTTTTTTTAAAAAAAGGTACGATATTTACCAGTTAATGTCTGAGATACGGTTCTTCTGGTAAGAAGAATATTAAAGTAAAGCAGAGTCCCAGCAAGAATAGCTGAGCCAACCTGTGTGTGTGAAAGAGAGGGAGAAGAGAGAGAGAGAGAAACTGTGTGTGTGTGTGCGCGCGCGTGTGTCATGAGTGAGAACAGAAACCGAAAGGCTATCTCGTCCTACTTTTACACTTGCAAACCTGAATTATTTTTCAATACCAAATCTAACTATTAAACGCCTCATAAACCTCACCACATCTATGCATTTCATTAAACAACAACCACACACACACACGCACAAACACACACACACTTCTCATTACCATCCCACCCCTGCTTCAATGCTGTGCGCACACCCTATGCGTTATATGGATGCCAAAAATGTCTGCTTCATTTGACTGAGAATGGGGGGAGGGGGGGAACTAGGGGAGAGGGGTAAATGCCCCATTTTTCTAATTGTTGCGAGACTTTGAAACTGTTCATGCATCCTCTGTCTGCTAGATATGGTCTGTTTTTTTCTCTCTCTCCTTCTTTGCCTCTCTGCTGTGCGCCGTAGTTCAATGTTAGCAGGCTGAGAGAGAGTGAGCTGGAGCCTGTGCGCGCCCATCCCCCCACACTCAGCAGAGGAGAGTGTTTCTGCTTGGAGTGAGAGACAGACAGAGAGAGGAGGAGGCGAAGGGAGGAGGAGGAGGAGGAGGAGAGCAGAGCAGAGCAGAGCCGAGCAGAGAGGAGAGGAGAGGAGGGGGTGGTAGAACTGAGCTGAGCAGAGCAGAGCAGAGCAGCAGGCAGGGGAGGGAACAAGAGAGAATGTGCATTGGTAGTCTCGTTTGCTGCAAGGCTTCCTCCTCCTGCTCTGGAAAAACCTGTGTATGTTGCCTTTGCTTGCCCAAATACCTCCCAGAATAAGTGGTGGGAAATAACTAAAACACAACTAAACGTAAAATAAGTCATGTTTAAATTATAAACAAACAAACAGCACATATTTCTTCTTTATCTCTGAAGATGTTATATAACCACATGGTTAAAAGAACCAAACGTTTTTCAGCATTGAGTCATCTTTACCGCCAGCTCTAAGTGTGTGTTGTATCTTTATCATACACACACCCCCGTACACTTTAAAAAAATCATATCTTTTATGAATAAATAACTTGACTCCTGGGCTCATGAAAATACTTTCAAAACGTGTTTTTGTGGACACTTAGCTTCCCCGTTGTTTGATTAAAAGTATACTCCTTTTCATATGTGAGGAGCACAACATCAGAGAGTTGTGTGAGTATTAGACTTATCTTCATGGGGAGAAAATGTTCCATCTAATGGGGGGTGGGGTGGGGGAGAGACAATGTACGATCGAAAGACAAAAAGTCCACTCCGCTGTGGGGGATGTGATCCGCTCCGTGTTTTGCAGCCATCTGTGCGGCTCAGTAAAATGGCTGTATGAAGCGGAGCCTCGTGTTGGTTGGGTTCGCTCCCTCTACCCGGGCTCAGTAACACAACTCCCACAACAATTTCTGTCGCTGTTTTACGCATTGTATGGATCCTGCACCGTCTCTTTAACCCATCTACGGAACCGGAACCAGAGCTATGGAAACCGGATTCGGTCCGGAGTGAGGAGTTGGAATGAATCGGCACAAGGATAAATGGTTATAAACAATTATTTATATTCAATGCTAGCTTGTGATTGTGACTGACTCGCCGAGAGAGGGAGAGAGAGGTGGGGGGGTTTATCATGGCCGCTCAGGTCGCCAGCGCCGCCGCTCTTAACACCAGCCCGCCTTCCGAATTAAAAAAGCCGGATCGAGAACCTAAGGAGGATTCGGTTACGGGGGAGAAACAGTCGGACAAAAAACAGCCGAGTTTGGACAGCGGATCACCGGGCCGGGGGGATCTGCAGGACGGGGCCGAGGCTGGAAATGCAGGGGGAGGAGGGGAACCTGAGATGAAGAACGGGAATGGGAACCCGCCCAGGGCTAACAATAATAATCAGAATGACTCTGTTGGACCGGAGGGAAATAACCATCCAGGTCTAGCGCATCACCACGGAACCGCTTTTCCCCCACCTTCGTACGGATACGGCCAGCCCTACGGTCGGGCCCCTTTTCATCAACATGGCGGACAACAAAGCCCTGGCATGGCAGCTGCTGCGGGTCCGGTTGTGCAGTCGAGCAACATGATGGACCCGTATCAAACCAATTCACACGACCATGGGTTTTCGAACCACCAATTTAACAACTACAACCCATTCCCGAACAGGACTCCATATCCAGGCCAAGGCTACGCCATGAACTCGCCTCGCAGTAGCCAGGCGCCGACAGCTGGGGGGCAGCCAGCTAAGCAACAGCCACCAACAGGAGGACCTACGGCGATGGCTCCCTCGTACAGTAACCAGAGATATAATATTGGGAATCCTCAGCCTACATCCACACCGACACTGAACAAGCTCCTAACGTCCCCCAGCTCAACGCGGGGTTATCCAAACTATCCGTCTGGTGACTACGGTAGCCAAGAAGGAGCTAGTAAGGGACCAGCAGACATGGGCAGTAGCGGTCAGTATGGAGGGAGCAATCCGGGCTGGCAACAAAGGGGCCATCACCCGTCGTCTATGAGCCCGGGAAGTGCCGGGCAGCCGTTGGGCAGAAATCAGGTAAAATCACATTGTTACGGGAACACAGTTGTGAGCGTTAGCACGTCTCCTTCCCTCCTCCTAGCTAGTTCACAACGTAGCAGGCCAGCCATTGTCTGATACTAGTTCGCAAAGACTCTAAAATGGCTGCCTCTGTCGTGTGTTTTTTTCCTTTACACCAGACCGTTAAATAGTTGTTGTTTAGACTTTTAAATGTATCTAGCGATACAACGGCACATCGCGACCAAGATATAAGTTGTTGAATCGATGTAATGAGGTTCAAGGAGGCGAGAAGGCCCGACTTTGAAAAGGACTGATAATACTCGCCGATGAGCATCGAGTCGTTTTTTTCCCTCCCGAACGCGTTTCTTCCTGCATTTAATGTCGAATTAACTTCTAATTGCGTTAATTAACATATTCCAGCGGATCGTTGATATAGAAGGCATCGTGTTTTCGAATGTAAAATAATTGTAGTTGCCCATACAGTTATATTTGTATTGTTTCCTTTTTCAGATAAGCAGTAATTTTGTAGACATGGCGGAGAGGGACGTGTAGCCATGTCTGATCTGCTCCTTACTGTTGGACGCTAAATGTGCTTTAACTGACGAATATTTGGTGTTCAGTTATTAAATGGTGTGTCGGGGAGTGGAAGTAAATAATTACATTTTCACGATATGGTAATTTGTAGCGTTTCTGTGTGCGGAAGCGCTACTGTTTTTTTCTCCTGTACGCTGCCTGAATGCAGCCATCTCAGCTATATCAAGTGAGTGTCTGCAGCCCGCAGATTGCAGTTTGCACTGGGATTTGAATTGTGGAGGTAAAATCCTGCTTGTCAAAGCCAGGAGATAGTTGGTCTTGGGTTGACATGCTAGCTGAAATCTGATTGGCTCCTCATCCGCTGCTCATGGCCATTTATAATTACATGTGATGCAAGGCAACAGTTGCTGATAACAGCAAGCAGCATTAACTGGTGGCAGGGTCAGCAGAGGTTCTGCTGCTTCTCTCCTCTTTTCACTATTCAATTAAACATGCAGTGTTGGCGCAGCTGTGATGTAGATAATGTGCTGTGTTGTATTGTTTTATTTAGCAATGTGGCAAGTGTGTTCAAAATTATTTAATATTAACGATGACACTAATCACTAGTAGACAAACGTAATATATGTACTATTCACATCTAAACGATGGTGATCTCTGATTTTCGATGGTTTATATATGTGCAGTACAACAGCTGAAGATTGCATCATTTCATGTAACAGGTATTGTGTTGTTGTTTGTTTGTGCATAATACAAATACACCCCATTCAGCATTACTCTACTCATGAAATGTTTACAACATAATGGCTTATGACATCTGCTGTTCAATTGCTTTCTGTTTTATTGATTGGCTTTCCACCTGACTTGTTTATTCTCAGTAAGTTGTGGATAAACAAATAACTGACTGTTGAGCTTTCTTGTTTTCCCCTATATTATTAATTGCCACATGGCACAAGACTCAAGCTCAGGCCACAAGGACGTGTACATTTCACACACACACATATCTGGTGAAAGGGCATGCCACACAAGTTTGAATGTGTGACTGCAGAGAATTCCCCCCAATCCCCCCCCAAGCCAATCGGAAGGCAGTCCACCATCTCTCACTCACCAAGGGAGTTTCCTCTCTGTCTTATGCAGATTAGCCATGTGCTGCTCCTATTTATTTCACGTCATTATCTTGGATTTACAAAATGTCACAGTATGCATTTTGCATAATATTTGAAAAGAACTGCTTTTAAGATGAGGAGACTCTGTAGACTACATCGGCCCTGTGGGCATACAGCTATTCTTTAGATTGGTTCAATTTTTTTTATTTTGCTTATTACAAAATTTATGATTATTAGCTCGACGTTACTTGGGGGCAGAGATTGTCAAATTACGCCACACAGGTCAGATTTTACTGTAAAAACAAAACCTGGACTGGTCTTGAATGTTTTACCTGACTTTTTTTTTTTAACCAAGACTTACCAAACAAAATACACTTGTGCACATTTTTAACTCTCTGACTGTTGTGAATGTACTTCCTTCATCTCTGGTGTCATTCATCCAGAGCCAAACTGCCTCCTCTGGGGAAAAAAAGCTCCTTGGACCAGGCTCAAAACAGGAGCACAGCTGGGATATGTTTAAGATTGGGCAGACTGCCCTCCATTTGAAAGGAGATATATATAGCTCTGTTGACTTCCGCAACTATGGCAAAGTGAGGTGAAAAAAATCAGGGTAATGACCGTGGGAAATAAGGTGAAAAAAAGTACAGTTTCCTCATTCATTTAAGTTTCTTTTCACACATTTATTCCTTTGAAAGTTTTACACCAGAGCCAAGAATTTTGTGGACTTTGAAGAAAATACAACCATGTCATAAGTAATTTGTGCAAGAACAGTGTAGCCGTTGAAGCTTAAAAATGGGTTGATAATTTTTCGTGACTGTTAAAATAATGTTTTTCCTCATTTTTGTTGCTTCTAGCCACCTGGACCCATGGATCCAATGGGTAAAATAAGAGGCCAGCTATATGGAGCAGGTAGTCCATACGGCCAACAGTCACAGCAGGGGCCTCCTACAGGTCCACAACAGGGGCCTGGGTACCCTGGACAGGGATATGGCCCCCCAGGTCCACAGCGATATCCAGTGGGAATGCAAGGACGCACCCCTGGAGGAATGGGTGGCATGCCATACGGTCCACAGGTACTTGATTTCTCCAAGTCTGAAGTGAAACCTTATGGGTTATTTATTTTCTTTAAGTATTTTAAATAAATGTCTTTCTTTTGTTTAGATGGGCTCCTATGGACAGCAGGGACCAGGAGGATATGGTTCTCAAGGTCAGGCCCCATACTATGGTCAGCCAGGCCAGGGTCCTCATCCAAGTCAACAGCAAGGGCCATACTCTCAGCCCCCTCCTGGACAGCCAGGTAGCCAAACATCTTACCCAGGGCAGCCCCATCCTCCACCAACTTCTGCTCCTCACAGCCAGGGAGGACCACCTTATCAGCAGCCTCACATGCCCCAACAGCCCCAGGGGCCACTGCCAGGCCCACCTCAAGGGCCCCCACAATCTCAGCCACCATACTCTCAAGCCTCAGCCCCCCAGTCGGGCCAGTCTCCCTATGCCCAGCAACAGGGTCCTCCCAGTCAGGCCCCACAGCAGCCAAGTTCCCAACCACCCCCTGGATCACAGGGCCAGCCCAATTACCCAGGATCATCACAGGGGCCACAGCAGCCTCCCTCGCAGCAACAGCAGGCACAGTCTCAGCCTCAACAGCAACCGCCAGGGCACGGCCAACACCCACAGGGCCAGCCCACAGTATACCCTCAGAACCCGCAGCAAGCACAACAGTCACCTTATCAGCGATTTCCCCCTCCTCAACAGCAGGTAGTACCAGAGATTGGATCATATTCATTATAATTAATCGACCATGTCTGTGTATGTGTCATGTTTTTGCGCGTCTCTGATTGACGTACGCTCTTGTTGTTTTTAGGAGGTATCCCAGGACTCATTTCAGTCCAATGCTCCACCATCAACTCAGAATAAACCTGGTCCAGAGGACGGCCAAGGCCGCCCTTCAAGCCTCCCAGTCAGTCATTCTCCTTACTTCACAGCTGTAAATTCTTAAATTATTTTTTTCACACCTGCATTTTACTTTGCATGCTTTTTTTTCTATTAATACCTTTAGAGGGTTTATGAGATGGGGGAAAATAAATGTTTTGTTTAAAAACATAATGTAAGAATTAGTTAGTTTAAAACTTAAGTTTTACAGACATCACTACCTTGATTGTTATTAGGTAGGGTTTTGTGTGCAGCTGCATGTTCATTGTTATTGAGTGGCAGCAGCAAAGTTGTGCTGGGTAAATGAGTAGATCAGAGATGAATACAAGAGTATTCATCTCTTTGCTGGCATTCAACTTTGCTGGCAGCAGCAAAGTTGTGCTGGGTAAATGAGTAGATCAGAGATGAATACAAGAGTGTTTGTGTGCTACAAGCTGACTCAGCTTGCATCTTACAAACCTTGGTAACCATGACAACCATTTACACTAATGCACCCTCTGTTTTTGAAAGATATAAATAAGGACAGAGGCCTCTGGGTCTTTCTCTATGCCACATGACTATTTACAACAGAAACACTACCTTACTACTAAAAGGAACATCAACAATTGAATGCAATCTGATATCACTTACGGCAGCTGGACCCTTTTAAGCAATAATGTAATTTTTATTAAAAGTTGTTATATTTGATTCTATTTTAGAACCAATCTTGTTGACTTTAGCTTAACTTGACATAATCTGTGTGCATCTTCTTTTTAAGGACCTGTCTGGTTCCATCGATGACCTGCCCACTGGTGCGGAAGGTGCGCTCAGTCCAGGTGTGAGCACTTCAGGAGTGTCAAGCAGCCAGGGTGAGCAGAGTAACCCGGCACAGTCGCCCTTCTCTCCTCATACGTCTCCCCACCTGTCAGGCATACGAGGGCCTTCACCTTCCCCAGCTGGCTCTCCTGCCAGTGCCAGCACACCCCGTACAGGACCACTGTCACCCGCCACCATGCCAGGTACCCTGCTCTCACACACACTAGAAAATCTTTTAGTGTTTAGTCCTTTGTGATGCATTAAATAAGCTCTTACTAGAAGTTATTAGTCTTTTTTTTTAATACACCTTAGAACTGGATGAGACCATTGTGTATGTTTTTTTTTTTTTTTTTAAACCAATCAGGAATAGATTGTTGTCCTGAAATTAAAAAGCATATTGATAATTTAAAAGAATCTTAAAACTAAATACTTTTTAGAACTCATTCCAACCGTAGTTGTATATTATTGCTCAGGGACCCAGATGCCTCCAAGGCCCTCAAGTGTGCAGTCAGATGGGAGCCTACACCCAACAATGAACCAGTCTCCTATGACCCAGGACAGAGGTATGCTGCCGTCACATCTATTGCTATCAGAGATATTAAGACTGTTGCAGCCTCATTGTACACACTTTTTTCCCTTCCATCAAGGTTTTATGCAGAGAAACCCTCAGATGCCAGCGTACGGCTCTCCCCAGTCGGCGTCAGCACTGTCGCCGCGCCAGTCTTCAGGGGGGCAGATGCATCCTGGGATGGCCCCATATCCGCAGAACAACTCCATGGGTGGCTATGGGCAACAAGGAGGGCAATATGGCCCTCAAGGTGTGTTGGACAGCTGAATCAAAGTCATTGTCTTTCACTTAGTATAAAAACAATGTACTCCAGGCTTTTAGTTTTTCATGGTTTACTTATTTCACCAAATACCCTTTTTATACACTTTCCCCTTAGACAGACGTATGGAATATATGTCTGTGCCTAGCAGGAATACCATGCTAAGTTGGTCCCTCCCTCTTGACTCTGTTGTGGCTATTTATAGCTGTGAAGCAGAGAGTCAGCTGACTAGCAGAGCCTCCTGTCAGTAGAGCCGAGACTGTGACGAAAGCTTGTTGCTCAGGGTCTATAGTTCTCTGTGCTAACATGCTGTAGGGATAAAGTGTAACTTACAGATGTTTAAAGAAACTGATTTTGCCATATTTATAACATAACAGTTGAATAATTATGGCCCTTTTTTATTTAGAAAATAATCACTTGTATATTGTTTTTATGCTCTAACTAGGCAGATGTGTGACCAGGCATTTTTTGTTTCAATGTCATCCTCAGGCTACCCTCGCCAACCTGGCTATGGCAACATGCCAAATGCCAACTACCCAGGGCCTGGAATGGGTCCAATGAACCCAATGGCAGGGCAAGGTGGTGGGCCACCGTATGGAGGCATGCCTCCAGGTAGGATGCCCCCCAATCAAATGGGGGCACGTCCTTATGGCCCCAATATGGGTCCAACTATGGGCCCCAACATGGGTCCAAACATGCCACCTAACATGGGCAACATACCACCTCAGGTGGGCTCAGGAATGTGCCCACCTCCAGGCATGAACAGAAAACCCCAGGATCCTGCAGCCATGCAGCACCCTCCCACCAACTCCATGCACAACAGGTTGGTTATTTTTCTTTTCTCTGAGGCATTCAATAAACACAACAAATAAAAAATGGGATGAAGAGGATTCAACTTCACTGTTTTTCTATGCAGGATGTCTGGTTACCCTAACATGGGTCCAGGGATGATGGGATCTGGACCACCTTATGGCCCTTCCATGAACAGCATGTCTGGAATGATGAACACTCAGGGTGGATCACCTTATCCTATGGGGCCCAACATGGCCAATAACTCCAGTGGTAAGTAGAACAGAGAAAACTGCCCTGAGCCTAGTTCTTCTGCTTTTTTTGTCCAACATTTACCAATGTCCATCCTTGTGTTTAGGTATGGCCCCAAGTCCAGAGATGAACAACAAAATGAATAACAAAGTGGATGGGAGTGGAACGCCCAAGCCAGAACCTAAGTCTAAGGTCCGCAGTGTAAGCTGGACTAACAGTACATAAAATTTTCCAATGTTTTCTTTTATATATTTATCTAATAAAATTAATGTATTTTTCCCAAAAACAGAAGTCCAATTCTTCCACAACAACCAATGAAATGATAACACGACTGTACGAGTTAGGACCTGAGCCAGACAGGAAGATGTGGGTGGACCGTTACCTGGCCTTCATTGAAGAGAAGGCTATGGGCATGACCAACCTACCTGCTGTAGGGCGCAAGCCCCTTGACCTCTTCCGGCTCTATATGTCAGTGAAAGAAATCGGAGGAATGACACAGGTTGGTATTGAATTCGAAAATAATTTTGTGGGACATTATAATTTTTTTTTGTCAATGCTTTTCTCTGATTAATGTGCCCTTTTCTTTTTAGGTGAATAAGAGCAAGAAATGGCGTGACCTGGCCACTTCTCTTAATGTGGGCACATCCAGCAGTGCAGCCAGCTCTCTGAAGAAACAGTATATCCAATGTTTGTATGCATTTGAGTGCAAAATTGAGCGTGGTGAGGATCCGCCACCAGAAATCTTCACAGACAACAAAAAGAGCCAGGCTGCTAAGGTCCAACCACCGTCTCCAGGTTAGACCCACACACCGGAGGCATTTCAGCAGATCACCACACAATTAAATGCAGATCCAGTGCAGTAACACTTTTACGTTGTGAATTAAAAGTCAAAAATACCTAAGATATATATGGGATATAATCAAAGTCATGAACCGTGTCTTTCTGCTCCTCCTTCATTTCAAACTGAAGCGTCCCTCTGCTCCACAGCTGGGTCAGGCTCTCTGCAGGGTCCGCAGACACCACAGTCCACCAGCAGCTCCATGGCTGAGGGTGGAGACTTGAAACCTCCGACTCCAGCATCCACTCCTCATTCTCAGATGCCCCCGATGCCTCCAATGTCCAGGTGTGTCTTGAATCCGACTTAATTTTCCTCACTAAAGAGTATCATATGATGACTTCAACTGCATTGTACTTTATTTACTTCCCCTTTGTACTTCCAACTTACTGTGACCTGTGCTTCCTCAGGAGTAGCGTCAACCTGCAGGACCCGTTTTCTGAAGGAAATGACCCTGGTTTCCCAAGAAAGAACATGACGCCCAACTCGGCCTACCAATCCAGCATTAACGCCCCAGACATGCAGGGGCGCATGGGTCCCTACGAACCAAACAAAGATCCGTTCAGTAACATACGCAAAGGTTGACACTATTGATTTCCTGCACCCTTAACTAGCCTGGTATTTAAAGAACTATGGATGGGCCATAACTTTAAAATGTATTTGCAGTTGGGGAGCAGTTCTTACCTGCTAGCCAAGGGCCTAACAGTGGGATGGGTGACCAGTCACAGCAGCAACCACCACAACAGCAGCCCCCATTTAACAGAGGACCACCTGGAGGAATGGGCACCCTGCCAATGGGACCCAGGCAGCAGTATCCTTATGGACCCGGCTATGACAGGAGGTACGAGCTGTTGTATAGAAGAACAACGGTACGGTGCACACTGTTAGTTCCGGTGTTAGCAGGAAGGAAACAAGCTAATGCTAATGTGCAACTGTTTAGAACAACTTACTCCTTTACAAAGTGACAGTGTCATTGTCAGATTATTTGTGGCTACAAGTTATAGAGACTTTTTGTAAAAAAATCTGAATTCTGTTAACCTTCTTTTGAATAGACTGCATTCATGCCACAGCTAGCTATACAGGATATACATCAAAGTCAAAATCAAAGAAAAATGACTAAAGGAAAATGGAAGAAAATATATTTAGATGACTGAAATAAAATCCTGAATTCAACATGATAGATAGGATTTTAAAATCACAAATAGAAACTTAGGAGAAACAAATGTTAATGCAGCATTTTGTGTGCTAAATTTCTCAACGCCATACAAGACTTTATCACAGGTGACTTACTAAGCACAAGACCCGCTGTATGTAATCAACACTGCACTTGAGTATTGTGAAAATGGTCACAAAGCATTAGACATGAAAACTAGGGACAGACTAAAATGAAGGCGAGTTAGTGTAATGAAAAAATACTTCTGTTGCTCTCATTGAAAACAAAAGTTTTAAGAACAGCTGCAACACCTGTGGTGATCAACTACCAGAGGACATGGTTCTGAACAATATGTGGACCGTAAATATCTGCAAGTTGCTGTTGCTTCCTGCGTCCACTGGGTGGTGTTAAAGAAAAGTCCACACCCAAAAATTGCCTATAAACAAGAATCTATGCAATTTCTTGCGTTTAGAAGCATTAATTATACACACTGTTTCCTTTGATCCACACAGTCGTCCTTGTGCAGATTATAGATCATAGGAATGTAAAATCTCTGTTTCTTGGTAGTCACGACTACCTTGGAACAGATCAAAGGTAGACAGTGGTGGCATCTATTGCCACATTCATTTTTTTATTAGAGTAGAAGGTTGAATCATAGCATGTCTATTTTGATATATTTCGCAGATCGGAGCAAGGCATGGGCCCAGATGGAAGCATGGGATCTGGTGCCCCTCAGCCAAACCCAATGATGCCTGCCAATACCGATACAGGGATGTATTCGCCAAATCGTTTCCCACCACAGCAGCCACGGTCAGTTCACAAGTTCCCCTGTTAAACAAAATCTGAACTGTCAAAAAAAAAAAAACTCAAAAAAAATCCTGATTTAGTCATTTGTAGCTGATGGGAAACATTAAGAAATATGTGAAATATTTTCATGGTTGTTTTTAATTTTTATGTAGTAGTAGTAATTCTTAATTTGGACTGATTAACATGGTGATGGGACCTCCTGACTAATCAAAATATGGATCCCACGCCCCATTTGGTTTAAATAGGTGCTCTTTGTTAAGCCTTTGTGTGTATTTAATGTGACATAAGTATAGTAAAATTTAAAGTGTATATTGAGGCAGTGAAAGGGTTTGGAGGCTGGGATTAGCAATCTTACAAAATGACATTGGGTATTTTACCTCTAAAATAAGTCAAGTACTGGCTACATTGTTATTTAAACACAAGTTAAAAATATGTAATAGAATAAAATCCTTAAACTTAATTAATTCCAGAATATTTGTTATTAATTACTATCTAGAATATATGTAACTACATCTGGAACATTGTGTTTTGTCCTTTGTGTGCAATCATGTTAAACTGACTTGGCTTGTTTGCAGACATGATTCCTATGGTAATCAGTTTCCTGGACAGGGAACGCCCCCTACTGGCTCATACCCAAATCAACAGCCTGGAATGTACCCCCAGCAACAGCAGGTAATTGATCCAGTTGTATTTCTCACAATACTAACATGTATAAAAAATGTCATTGTTGATTTGGCTTGCATCTAAATTTAAAATAATCATATTTCAGATACAAGTAGATTTGAAACCCCACTTTAAATTTCACATTTGTCTACCCCTTTTTTAATATGTAGAGTTATAAGCGCCATGGAGAAGGTGCTTATCCTCCATCAAAACGTCATGAGAGTGAGTACAGTGGGCCTTTCCCTGGTGGACAACAACCACCGCAGCAGCAGCCACAGCAAGTAGGCACCCCAGCACCCTCTTCAGGACAACAGGAGTCCTACAATCAGTACGGCAGCAGCGGACCCTATCCTGGCTCTGATCGCCGCCCTCCTGGTCCAGGCAATCAGTTCCCCTACTCCTTTAGTCGTGATCGGATGCAGGGAGGTTCAGGTCCCAACGCGCAGCCCACCATGCCCCCTCAGATGATGCAGTCAGAGGGTCCTCAGGGGAGCATGTGGCAAGGACCACGAGACATGAACTATCAGAACTTCACCAGTAGACAAAGTGGCCCTGGGGGCCCACCCCAGGGACCTGGCTACCCTGGCATGAACCGTTCAGAGGAGATGATGTCATCAGAACAGCGTATGAATCATGATGGTCAGTGGGGTGGTCAGATGGGGCCTCGACAGCCCCCTTACGGTCCAGCAGGGCCTGGCCAACCGATGCCCCGATCAGTACAGTCCAACTATCAGCCCCCTCAGGGTGTGCAGAACCACATTCCACAGGTGTCCAGCCCAGCCTCCATGCCTCGCCCAATGGAGAGCCGGACATCACCCAGTAAATCCCCTTACATACATGGAGTAATGAAGATGCAGAAGGCTGGACCTCCAGTGCCGGCATCACACATAGTGCCCCCTCCGGTACAGTCACCTCTGATAAGGAGAGACATGCCTTTTCCCCCAGGCTCTGTAGAAGCCACTCATCCTATCCTGAAGCCACGACGGAGACTCACTATGAAAGATATTGGTAAGACTTTCAATCACAAATATCACCTTTAAACAATGTTGTTACTTGGAAGGGAAAAAACAACAATGTTCTGGTTTAATTTGACAGGAACACCAGAGGCCTGGAGAGTTATGATGTCTCTGAAATCTGGTTTGTTGGCTGAGAGTACATGGGCCTTAGACACCATTAACATTCTGCTGTACGACGACGGCAGTATTTCAACCTTTGATCTCAACACGGTAAAATTTGTTGGATTTTTTCAATGTTTGATTAAAAGTTATGATTCCTAATGTTTAAATTAATCTTCTCTTTTTTTCTAGTTACCTGGCTTCTTGGAGTTGGTTGTTGAGTATTTCAGACGCTGCCTGATTGAAATCTTTGGCATTCTCCAAGAGTATGAGGTTGGAGATCCTGGCCAGAGGACGCTTCTTGATCCTGATGCTCTGAAACAAGACTGGGACATTACTGAAGAAGAGGAGACACAGCCTGAGGACATGGAACAACAAGAAGATGATGATGATGAGGAGGAGGAGGAGGAACAAGAAACCGATGGGCCAGTTCATGTAAAAGAGGAGGAAGATCAGGAGCAATGCACCACAGCATCTCAGGGCCCAGATGAGTCAACAGAGGATGAGGAGAGGAAGGCTAAAGGTCCTGCGTCCGATCAGGCCGGCCTGCAGCTCTTACCTGCCCAAGACAGACCCAAACAGGCTAGCAAATTTGACAAGTTTCCTCTAAAGGTGGTACGAAAGAAAGACCCATTTGTAGCTGGCCAGTCTAGTAATTATGGCAAAATCCAAGAGTTTGACAGTGGGCTGCTTCATTGGAGTGCGGGAGGAGGAGACTCAACCGAACACATTCAGACCCACTTCGAACCACGCAAAGACTTCTTGGAGCCTCGAGAACGAATACCTGTTCCCTCAGCTTTGCTAAAGAGACGGGTCCCTGAAGAAGAGACACGGGAACATTATTTACCGACTTTGGAGGAGATAAGTAAGGATCAAGACAAAGAAGAGAGTCCTAAAGAGTCGTCCTCCTCAGAGAATGCAACCGTCTCCGAAAAGGCCAGTCCTCCACACAGCACTGAGGAGGAGGAGGAGGAGAAGGAGAAGAAAACTCTTAGTGAGATAATTGATAAAGCTGCTTTAAGTCATCAGGAGAATAACAGAGCGGTTACTTCCACTGGCAGCGTTTTATCCCTGCGGGTGCAGCAGACTGGCACCATCCTGGAGGATGAGCCTCACAGTAAAGATGAGGGGCCCCTCATTACACTGGCCAACTGGCAGGACTCCTTGGCCCGTCGTTGCATTTGTGTCTCCAACATCATTCGAAGTCTCTCTTTTGTTCCTGGCAATGACCATGAGATGTCCAAACACCCAGGGCTGTTGCTGCTACTTGGACGCCTGATTCTGCTCCATCACAGACACCCCGAACGCAAACAGGCTCCCCTCACCTACGAAAAAGATGAAGAGACCGATGAAGGAGTAGGCCAGAAGGATGAATGGTGGTGGGACTGTTTGGAGCTCCTGAGGGAGAACACACTGGTCACATTGGCCAACATATCAGGCCAGCTTGATCTTTCCATCTACCCAGAGAGCATCTGCTTGCCCCTACTGGATGGTCTCCTCCACTGGGCTGTCTGCCCCTCAGCAGAAGCTCAGGATCCATTCCCCACTCTGGGCCCCCACAGTGCTTTGTCACCTCAGAGACTGGTCCTGGAAACGTTAAGTAAATTAAGCATCCAAGACAACAATGTTGACCTCATCCTGGCTACTCCACCATTCAGTCGGTTAGAGAAGCTGTACGGGAACCTGGTGCGGCTAATTGGAGACCGGAAGATTGCAGTTTGCAGGGAGATGGCCGTGGTCCTACTGGCCAACCTGGCCCAGGGTGATACCCTGGCAGCCCGAGCCATTGCTGTTCAGAAGGGCAGTGTGGGCAACTTGCTGGGCTTCTTGGAGGATAGTCTGGCAGCCACACAGCTTCAGCAGAGCCAGAGCTCTCTTCTTCACCTACAGGGGATGCATTTTGAACCCACAAGTCCGGACATGATGCGGCGAGCAGCCCGGGCTCTGCACGCCTTAGCCAAGGTGGAGGAGAACCACTCAGAGTTCACACTACACGAGTCCCGACTCCTCGACCTTTCGGTGTCTCCCCTAATGAACTCACTGGTTTCTCATGTTATCTGTGATGTACTCTTTTTGATAGGCCAGTCATGACAGCTATAGGGAGCTGTGGCTCCACTTACTGGGGATTTTATCCCCAATTCCCTTTTCCCTGGTAACCTGGCTTATGTGTATAACAGGGCAAAGAAAGTTCAAGTGACTGTCTTTTTAATTTATGAAAATCCTTCAGATTCCATTCTCTGAGCCCTCCCCAGGCCGTCCTTGCTTGGGGAGGATAATCACAGAGCTGGGGTGGATTACAAACCAGAGAGAAGCCCACAAAGTGACACTACTTGCAAAATGAATGCCAACTGGATGACACAGAGCAGAGCACCATGGATGGGAGACTGTTCTGCACTTGGGGGAAAAGTAATTTTTAATAAAACTAAATAAATGAATAAATAGCTGAAAAACAAAAACTGTAACCAAAGTTGCTGTCTCGTTTACAGTGAGTTTGGGAGACACAGTGTGCCCTCGCTCTCCCTCAAGGGCACAGTGAGTCTGTAACTGGTTGATGTTCAGAGGTTAACGCAGACTGACAAGTGGCCTACTGGTTGTAGTTGCTGTAGTTGGATTCTCACCTGTCAGCCTGGCAGCAGACGAAGTGCTGTCGGTAGACACCTTCACCAGGGAGGCCTGTGCAGTGTGCAGTAGATTGTAGGACATTTTCTGTACCATACTGCTCTTGAGTGTAAGCATTCTGTAACACGTTTCACACAGAAAGCTGGAGATGCAGCTCTTCTAGAGTTTGAGGTCATTTTAGATTGGTGTTAAACAGAAATGGCTTTCTTCCCCAAAGTATCATGAACCTACAACACCCTTACCTCCTCTTATCCCTTGATTGTATGAATACCCTTATGAAAAGAAATCACCTCTTAGGACTGGTTTTCGACTTCAAATACAGCTTTGCTGTGGTGTATATATAATGTTGTACATTACACTTCCTTTCTCTGTGTCTGTCTCTGTCTGTGTCCCTATTCTCACTTGTTATTGGTGAGGGATGGAGGCTGACTTGAGTTTGGTCCATGACCTTCAGTCCCTGCTGATTAGACCCACTCCTCTGGTCTCTCCACAGCTCCGTAGTACGGCAGACACGGCTCATACCTGTTATCTCCTGGTACAACAAAAATAAACTAGATGAAGTACACATTGACAACTTTTCTCCGGTCATGGATTCTGCATATTTGTATTTCAGACTATGTAGCTAAGACAACATGTAAATTCCTCCCTTTCCCTTTTTTGGCTCAATGAATATCATTTATTCAGTATGAAATCTTTATACTATATGTTCCACGTGGTAAGAATAAATGTACATTAAATCTTCGTAAGCTGTTTGATGGTTTTGTTTTTATAAAATTATCATCCTTATGACTAGACAATAAATATAGTTTTGGGCTTTAATAAGTGGCTTCAAGCAGACAGTAAGAAACTTTCTGGTTTAATCTGGTGTCTTTTAAAATTCCTCTTTTCAGTCATCCATCAGTCACAAACAGCCTGAGTTTAGTAAAGATTCCCGACTTACAGATTTAGGATAAGAATCATCATTGCCTTTTTTTTTTTTTTTTTTTTAATATTTATCAGTCACCACAATTTTTATGCACGATACTGTGGCAGCTTGAATGGGACAACAGTATGTCCAAGCATGTAGGAGGAAATATTGTAGTCTAGATTATTAAAAGGTGTAATTTGTCTTTATTGTGCTTTTGTAAAAATATTGAGCAGCCTTGGTACGAAAAACCTGCTCCTGATGTAAATAAAGAGCTGCTTATTCTTAGGTAATGAGAACAGTTCACGCTCACAGGGAAGTGGGCATTTTTAAATGCAACGCTAAATATTTACTCAGAAATAGTTTTAAACATACACACTGGACTTTAATAAGTACTTCAAAGTCAATCTTGTTAAGTCAAACAAACTGAAAAACATACCTGACAAGGTTATTTTTGAAGAAATACAATGAAGTCCAGCAGTACTGTCTTTTTGAGTGTACAAAGGAGAGAGGAGAAACGTATAAGATGATAAACTTTACAATGCCTCCTATTTGCAACTTTGTCAAAGCGCAGCTGTCTTAACATATCTGCCAAGTGTACACTCTTCTTTACACTCGCTCCACTATTACACTGTATGAAGGAATAAATACATTACATGGCGTTAATGCAAATGTATTATTTAGATATGTATTTACCTAAAACATATATACAGTTTACTATGTATTTTATTTTTGTACATTTTCAAGGGCACCACTGTAAGAAAGGCTCCTTTGTTACTGTGGGTGAATCAATTTAGTCGAATAGAAACAACTTTTACAGAGTAAATAGTGGGGCAATGGAGCGCCAAAACCTCTGACACAGGGGAAAAAAAACCCCAAATAGGAATATTCCTGTACATTTGCAATGTTATGCGATGAAAGTGTTGGTGCTTTAACAATAAAGCTCTTGAAAGAAGACATGTAAGTCAAAAACTGAGCAGGGTTTGACACCAAAGGTCCTATCACTGACAAGGATTTGAAACCTTTTTTGTTTTATTGTCTGTAGATCAATAATGCACTCTCACATGTGATTAACAAACAATATGAAAAATAAGATATATTCAGCAACTAGATTTTACATGTGAAATGTGATTCAGCAACTAGATTTTACATGTGAAACATAAATTAAGCAATTGATTCCTGGAGCCATTTCCAAAATATATTGGTACAAAGCCAAGAATGAAGGGCTCATTTGTGCAGGTCCCTAAATTAGCCTAGTTAACTGGTGAGTCATTTACAGTAGGTGTCAAGATTAGGCATATATTAAGGATTTGCAAATTGTTTTATGTAGGTAAAAATGGGTCTTAGCTCTCTGTGTTGATCTTAACAGGCAGTTAACACCGTGTTGCTAACGGCAAGATAGCGAAGATTTCAGGGGTAATCACTTTGTAAAGGTTAGGAATTGAAACCACTCTTGCATGTGCATGAGGAACAGCCACACCAGTTTGTAACACCAGAAGGAAGTTATTGTTGCTAAATATCAACTGCATGTTACAAAAATAGCGTTATGCAGAAATTGAAAATTCATGTCAGGACATTGTAAAGTTCAGTGGGCGAGAGTTATTCTACGATGACTCCTAAGACAATGGAAATATGTTTTGCAGAAAGAGTACATGTTTCCGCCTGTTTTGGGGTAAAATTGGCACTAGATTCTACAGGTTAAAAAACTAGTATAAGAAATAATCACCCCAGCTCCCCACACAGTACCTCTGGAAATATATAACAGCTGTATTCAACAACTAAAAACCCTCCTAATCCGAATGGAAATTCCCTCGTCTACCAATAAAATGAGGCCAAATACAACCAGTGTTACATGTACTATGAACAACTAATCTAAAATACATCTCAATGGAGGACAGAAATACTTGCACCTCTTGAAAATCAGTCGATGAATGTTTTGCTCATTTGAGTCAATGTACAAGACAAGGTTAAACAACTCAAGTCGATGAATCGACAATGCTGCATCGACGTATACAAAAAAACGAATTCATCCATTGTTTCAGGCGGAACTATACAACGTGTTCCTCATCTGTGCTTATGGCGTTCCTGAACTTTTAATTTGAAAATAGCAGACTGTTGCACCGGAAGTAAAATATGTCCATTCAATGAAGCTACGAAGAGCAAGATGTGGGTGCAGAGATTGTACCTGTGCTAAAACTCACGCCGCTTAAGGACAACCCGTCATATTAAATTATCTAACCAACGATACACAAAAACGTTTTAATACATCATGATTCCCGTTTTTTACTGCTAGCTATGTTCTGTAGAAATCGTGAGCAACGCGGCACACACTGTCTCCCTGTCGGTGCAATGATTGGTCCCTTCATGCCGGCGTATTTCGTTTTTCTTTGTTTTAATATGTAATCATGGATGTTAGCGCAGTTCTGCGATTTGCCACAGTCACCAGGGGCCTCTCGCTTCTGTTACAGGTAAGATGAAGCTGAGTTCTTACTCTGACCGAGTCAGACACTGTGCTGATCTGATGGACTTTCCACCGTTGTCGTTTCAAAATAAGTCGTTCACTTGTGTACATATTTCTCGTCCGGGATTAATGTTAGCTTGAGTATTATAAAACAGTTTTTTAAAATCATTTTCTATATGAATATGAAAGTTTGCTAGTTTTTATTTGTTTTAATTTTATACAGTCTCTCTTTGTTTAGGATAAGTTTAAGTTCAATACGACGTAAAGAAATAAATACTTAATAATAAGAATATATTCATGTCTGACCTACACGTAACGAAGTAAGCAAATAATTTGTTTTTGTTGTGCTTTATAAAAAAATTAAGTTAATTATTTAACAGCATACAGTACACTTTATTTTCTACTCAGGCTGTGTTGAACGCCGTCATCCCTGACCACGAAGCTGATGCGTTCAAACCCCCTCGGACAGAAGAGCTCCTGTACTTGGACTCTACGGTGGAGTGGTTACTTGGTGGCCTGTCTCACTGGGATGCAGAGCACTTCCTGTTCATTGCTGAGAGAGGTTATCTTTATGAGCACAACTTTGCTTTTTTCCCACTCTTCCCTGTCGTTCTCCGCGGTCTGGCAGAGACACTGCTATGGCCGTTGAGAACCTGGTTGAGTGTGCGGGGGCGTCTGCTTGTGGCCGTCACTCTGGGAAACAGTGCCCTCTTCCTGTTGAGTGTGGTGGCACTGTATGCACTTAGCAGGACAGTTCTGCAGGACAGACGTCTTGCTCTGCTCTCCAGCCTTCTGTACTGCATCACACCTGCCAATGTTTTCATGACGGCTGGATATTCCGAGAGCCTGTTCGCTGCCCTTACGTTCGGTGGTGTGTACCTCCTAGAGAAAGGCTTCACTCTCCGAGCTTGTCTGGCTCTAAGTATAGGCACAGCAGCCC